TTTTTTAGCCAGATGTATTTCATGGCAGCTTCCAAACTAGGTATTGCCTTCCTTGTCTCTTTGACAACAGTATCTTGTGTGAATGGCATCTTTTATTAAGAAAAATATCCCATATTCTTTCACAGAGAAACTCTGTTGCTTTCAGTCTATAAATAAATGGCCTCCCAGTTCGGATGGAGATGAGGGGTTTCTCTGGTGTTGGTTCATGTTGGGGATTTCCTTCCCCAGAGAACAGTGGAGATTGGGTCATTGAGTGTGATAGATTTTTGATAAACTTTAGCCCTAAGAACTATATCTATATCCTAATCAAAAACATTCAATGTTTTGGCCTTAACTGCTTTCTACAGCAAAGAATTCCACAGGCTCTGAGTGAAGAAATTTCTCCTCATCTCAGTCCTAAATGGACCACCCCATATCCTTAGAGTGTGACCCCTGATTCTGGACTCCCTGGTCATCGGGAACACCTTTCCCACGTTTACCCTGTCTAGCCCTGTTAGAATTTTATAGGTTTCTATGAGATTCCCACACATTGCCCTGCAAATTATTCTAAACTCTGGTGAACATAGACCTAACTGATCCAGTCTCTGATTCCGAGGATGGGGAGAATTGATGTATGAATAGTCTGATAAACATTTGTTGCACATCCTCCATGACCAAAACATCTTTCCTTAGGTAAAGAGAACAAAACTGCACACAGTACTCCAGGTGTGGTCTCACCAAGGCCCTGTACCATTGCAGCAAGACATCCCTGTTACTGTATTAGAAACCTCTCACTATGAAGGCCAATATACAAACCATTTGCCTTCTTCACTGCCTGCTGCACCTGCATGCTTACCTTAGCAACTGGTGTATAAGGACACCCAGGCCTTGTTGCACCTCCCCCTTGCCCAGTCTATCACCATTCAGATAATAATCAACCTCCCGGTTTTTGCTACAAAGTAGATAACCGTGAGCAAACCTCATCTGGCATGCATTTGACCACTCACCCACTTTGTCCAAATCACACTAAAGCATAAAATCCGAAAGAATTGCGGTTGCTGGAAATCAGAAACAAAGACAGAAGTTGCTGGCAAAGCTGAGCAGGTCTGGCAGTATCTGTGGAGAAAAATCAGAGTTAACGTTCCGGATCCGGTGAGGAAGGGTCACTGGACCTGAAACGTTAACTCTGATTTTTCTCCACGGATACTGCGGACCTGCTCAGCTTTTCCAGCGTCTTCTGTCTTTGTTTCACAATAAAGCATCTTCATAAAGCCTTGTAGAGGGCAACACCCTTGTAACCAGACTCCCTTTGTAGAAATTGCATAGTTTGTTAAAAAGGAAGGTTGATACCAACTTTCAAGTTCATTAATCTTCAGGACCTGTCTCCCACATTTAGAAAAGAAGAATGATCATGCTACAGAAGCAAAACACGGATGCTGAATTAGATACAGAAAGAGCTGGAGAGACCTATCAGCCTCTGGCGAGAGAGAAACAGAGTTAGCATTTCAAGTCCGGTATGACTACTTCAGAACAAAAGAAATAGAGTTAATAGTTTTGGGGTTTAGAAGTCATCTTTCAAACCTCAATGTTCTCATGATTTTGGCCTGTGGGTTTGTGTTAGTATTAGACAGAAGAAAGCAAAACCCTGGGCTCTTGAGAACATTGCAATAGGGTTAAAGACACTTGATTGGTAAAAATCAAACCAAAATTGCAATCCTTGAGAGCAGTTTAGACGAGGCTGGAAGTACAGGCATCTGACCTGGGATCTTCTGCTGGGCACTGCTCACTCAAGTTGACGAAACAGACTGAAGAACAGTAAGTGCCCCCCAGGGTCCTGGACAGCATTCCTCCTTTGAAACTGATGGTCCATGATCTCATTTGCCAGTCTGAGGCATCACCTTGTGTAAATTTACCACCACGTTTTGCTGCATCAGCACCGGCAACTAGTTTCAAAAACAGAATAACCAAGTAGACCAGGTGAAACACTTTGCGTTATGCAGGTGATTAGATAAGGTGCTCTGTCATTGTGAGTTAAACTTGTTCTTTTTTTATCTGGTGTTAAAAATGAGGGAATTGTTTCTTCATGTTTCAGTCTCTAGTGCTCAAATTGTGTTGCCTCCTATTAACATGCCATGCAGCAGAGGCAGTACTAACTAGAACTCATCAGAGCAACAGACGAGATTCCAAACAATCTGTGGTTATACATTTCCTTGCTGCTTGAGTGATCTGGCAGCACTGCCAACTATTTCATTCTACATGAGGTGCTTTGAGATGTGAGTGAGAGATGAGCAACATCACTGCTGGTCTACATTCTTCCCCCTTTGTACTGCTCAATGTTATCACTTCATGGTTTTGGCCTTCCCTATATTTGTGATCTTCTCTACCTTTATAGGCATCCAACTGTGCCCTCTTGAGCATTTCCATCTCCCTCCCCTCTCCTTCCCGCTTTCGCTTCCTTGTGGATTCTCCTGAAAACCTCTTTCTTCCAAGTTTCTCATTCCTTGGCCTGTTATCTCATGGTGTGGGTGAGTGTCAAATTTGTTCTAGATAACAATGCTATGATGAACGACCTTAAGGATGTTTTTACCACGTAAAAATACACAATAATAAACACATATAATTGTTCCTTTATTTGGCAACTTCCCACAAAATGCACCATGGATTTCACATGGTTTGCTATGTAAGGCCCCAGCATAGTCACCAAAGAAAAAACAATTTCTATCTAACATCAGAAGTCAAGTCCACCCATTGTCAATTGCCTAGAATTCCTACAGTGAGGAAGGAGGCCATTCAGCCCCTTGAGTGTACCCCAACCCTCCAAAGAGCATCCCACCCAATCTCTGTAACCCTGCATTTCCCATGGCTAATCCACCTAACCTACACATCCCTGGACCTATGGGCAATTTAGCATGGCCAATCCACCTAACCTGCATGTTTTTGGACTGTGGAAGGAAACCAAAGCACCTGGAGGAGACCCATGCAGACACAGGGAGAATGTGTTAAGTCTGCACAGACAGTTGCCTGAGGGTGGAATTGAACCTGGGTCTCTGGTGCTGTGAGGCAGCAGTGCTAACTGCTGGCCACTGAGCCACCCTGCCACCCAATGAGCCATAGTGCTGCCCTGATCTTGTTTCTGATAAACTCTGGCAAGACCTCCCTTAGATGTACAACTCCAACGTGATTCCAGCGCTAGAGTCCTACTGCACAGAGACAGGCCCTTTGGCACAGACGAGTAGCGAAAGACCCAAACATCTGCCTTTATCGTAAGAATATGCATCATTTTTATTGCTATTCCTAAGCCAATTACCCTGTGCTTTGGAAGTTTTCAAGCCCAAGATTGTGGAAATCACAGCATGAGTTATCCTCTGCTGATATTTTACTCTGAGGTTGATTTTCAAACCAAAGCCACCATCTCAGACAAAAGCAAAGTATTTACTGCATGATTGTTAACCATTGGCTGTGTATCAGTTTTTAAAATGATTTAAAATGCTCGTATTTCCTTCTCTTAACTATTCAGTGCAAAATGATTTCAATGCTTGACGGCTGAGCCACTAACCAGTCAAAATTAACATTGTCACATTTTAGCCCAAGACTACAGATTGTGGAGATCTGCAAAACAGAAAGTGCTCGAGAAACTCAGCAGGTCTGGCAGCTTCTGTAGAGAGAGTAAAGCAGAGTAAATGTTTCCAAAATTCTGTGAAAGAATTGTTTGAAAAACATCTAATGTGACTCAGAACAGTCATACCAGACATGAAACAAAATCAGAAGTTGCTGGAAGAGCTCAGCAGGTCTGGCAGCATCTGTGGAGAGAAAACAGAGTTAACGTTTCATGTCCAGTGCTCCATCTTCAGAACTAATCCCCCCAAGACTGTGACCCCACCATGGAACATCAGGCACTTGTGTCTGCAACAGTCACTTCATCTGGTGACTTGCTCACCACTGCCTCCAAGCTCATAGTCTTCCAAACCCCACCACAGCCCACGTCTACCTCCTTCCCAAAAAATAAAGCAGTTCTGAAGAAAGGACCTGAAACATTAACCCTGATTCCTCTCTACAGGAGCTGTCTGACCTGTTGAGTTTTTCCAACAATTTCTGATTTTGTATCTGATTTTCAGCATCCACCGTTCTTTGATCTTTTTCTACAACCATACTCGAAACATTAACTAAAAACTAAAAAAAAAATCGTCTCCAACCCCACACAGCCTGCTTCTATCTCCTTCTCAAAAAAATAAAGTTCTGATGAGGAAGGGTCTCCCAACCCAAAATGTTAATTCTGATCTCTCTCCATAGATGCTGCCAGACCTGCTGAGATTTTCCAGCAATTTTTGTTTTTATTTGGAAACATTAACTGCTTCACCCTTCACAGACGTTGCCAGGCCTGTTTTGTCCTGCCCTCTCCGGCTTTTATTTCAGATTTTAAGCTGAATCATTACGTTTTCAAAAGCCTAGCCTGAGTGAACACAAGACAAAGGTGGATCATTGCCTCTGGATCTGAATTAGTTCTCAACAGGGGAGAGAGGCCCACATAAACGAACTGAACAACAGCCAACATTTTGTTTTCGGGCACTCAGCTGGTTGTACACATGGTCGGGAGACACGACGTTCCGAATTGGGAATCGACGTAAAAGGCAGAATGCTTTTAGCTTAGCGCCTTCTCAGGAGAGGAGGCTGGCTTCATTCACCATGACCCACTTGATGACCTCTCTCTAAGCAATGAGTTAGCATTCCCAGTCCTCCTCCAAGCCAGTGCTAATCTATTTGGGTAGATGTTCATGAACATTCAAGGGTATTGATTTGGTGTGAAGTGGCCTCCTTCCTATCCCAGCAGGCCTAGAGAACAATGGAGGCCTAGAGAGTCCCTCCAAAGTCAGTGCAAAGTCAAGCAATGCGCCCACGGTCCGAGACATGTCAAGGTTCAGTCGTCCATTTTGTAATCGCTCATGTAGACCGGCCTTTTTTCTTTCTCTCTCTCTTTTTTTCCGGCGTGTTTTTGCTCACCAGCCTATTTGGCCTATTCACAGAGTCGTATTAGAAGGATGTGGAATGACACTGTGCGAAAACAATCAGAATCTTCCTTTATCTCAGGTGAAATCAACAGCACTTCAACACTTAACCAAGGTCAGTTCCTGGGGTAGGGGGGAAAAGAAATATATTGACAAAACAAAAAGAAAAAGAAATGTCTTTCGGATTGGGGATGTTGTACGTGCGTGTCCTGGTGTGGCTTTTCTGTGATGTTGCTCTGCAAGAGGAAAACCCACAGATCTAGTGCAGCCAAAAAAACAAATCTGAACTTTTCTCAAATGATTCCAATAACTCTTCTGCTCTCTCACCACACGACCCTCGAAAAAATAGGCTTCTTTCCCCACTTCAGACATAGCTTTGATCCACGGCCCTGTATGTTCTTTTAGCTGGGCTGAACCAAATCTGATTTTTTTTTAGCTCTTTAGTTAACTCAGTGAATTTATCCAGTGACCAGCTGAGCAGGCCCTATAGATCAGGAGAGTCCTCAGCTCCTGTGTTAAGTTGGCTGGGTTAGCATGGACAAGATGGGTCAAATGGCCCGCTTCCGTGCAGTATCATATCTCTGGCCTGGGGAAGCAGTAGTGAGAGATGGTGAGGAAGGAAGGAAGGAAAGGTGAGTGGACGGATTCCAAGAAGGAATTCTGAAGTCACTTCTTTACCCAAAGAGTGGTGGGAGTGCGGAGCTCATCCCTACAGCGGTGGTGGTTGGGTGAGGGGTGGGGGGACGGGGTGCGGTGGTGGTGGATGGGGGGAGTGGTTGAGGCGAGGAACATAGACGGGGGAGGCTGGGCAAGGAAATAAAGAAGGGAATTGAGGGTTCTAATTAATGATTGAGATGAGGAAAGACAGGAGGACACTCCAGTGGAACAGAAACGTTGGCGTAGAGACATTGGGCTGAAAGACATGCTTGAAATATCCGACGTTGTCCTATGAGTTCCCAGTTTCACACACCAGTTTCAGGAGTCAGCCAGGATCGCGCGCCGAATACTGACTATGACTGAAACTCACCTGCAAGGAAAGATCTGCATCCAACAGCAAGGAGTGAAAGGACAGAGGGAGCACTTTTTCCATGAGCTTTGTAATTAGGTCTTGGGCTATATGTGCACAGATCATTGAAGGTGACAAGGCAGCTGGAGAGAGCAGTAAATAAAGCTTTTTTAATGGGGACATTGAGTACAAGAGCAAGGAGGTGATGGTGAACTTGTAACAAGACCCTTGTTAGACCTCAGCTGGAGTACTCTACACAATCCTGGATTACTCATTATAGGAAAGATGTGAATGCATTGGAGACCTTGCAGAAGCAATTTATCAGAATGGTTCCAGGTATGAGGAACTTAAGTTATGACAATAGATTGAAGAAATTGAGACTACTATCCCTGGAGAAAAGGCAGCTGAGAGGTATTTTGACTGCAAGATTTTCAAAATCATGAGTGGACTGGACTGGACAGACCAGATAGGGAGAAACTGTTCTGTTTGTAATAGGTAAACAAATGAAAGGGCACAGATTTAAAGTTAGTAGGAACTGCTGATGCTGGAGTCTGAGATAACAAGGGCTGGCCTGCTGTGTTTCTCCAGCTCCATACAGATTTAAAGTGATGTGCGAAAGAAGCAAGGGTGATTTGAGAAAAACATTCTCACTCAGTGAATACTCAGGATGTGGTATGTACTGCTTGTAGTGAAGGCAGGTTCAGTTGAGGCATTCGAGATGGAATTGGATGGTATTTTTTTAGGATAGTAATGGTGTGCAGGGATATGGCAGGAGATAGTAGAGCTGGCATCATGGGCTGAATGGCCTCTGTCTGCACTGTATTAATGCTGTGATTCTGGAGGGTAATGCTCGTTTCACTGGCCTTTTCTCCCCTACCCATCATCACACCACCACCAACCCTCCCTAGTCCAAACCCACTTATGCACAGACTGTGGGATTGCTTGGCTGTAATGAAGGCCATGATGGGAAAAATGTACCCATGAAGCAAAAGAGATCCCTCTGTTTTAGATAACGATGTAGACCCCCTGGACTGGATACTATCATCATGCCCTTCGAAAGCACACAGAATGTTCTTGTTTGTTGTGGGAGGGATTGAAAAGTAGTGAGTTTACGATTCAGTTTTACTGTGCATTGATGAGACCACTGTGTACAGTCTTGGTCTCCTTATTTATGGAAGAATGTAAGTGCAGTGGAAACTATTCAAAGAAAGGATTACAAGCCTTGTATTGAGAATGGGTGAGGAAAGGTAAGACAAGGTAGGCTTGTATCTGGTGGAGTTCAGAAGATTAAGTAGCAACTTGGTTGAAACCTATAAAATCCTGAGGGGTCTTGAAAGATTAGATGTGGAGACAATGTTTACTGTCCCTTTAGAGCTGAAGGAATGGATTACAAAGGCAAGGAAGTAATATTAAATTTGTACAACACACTTGTTCAGCTTTAACTGCAGCATTGTGGCCAATGTAGGAAGTAGGTGAAGGCATTGGAGAGGTGATGCTGAGAAGCTTTGGAAGAATGTTTCCAGGGATGGGGATCTTCAGCTGTGTGAATCGTCTGGAGAAGCTGCGACTATTCTCCTTTGAGTATAAAAGGTTGATGGAGGTTGATGCTAGAAATCCTGAGAATTCTCGTCAAAGTGGATGGGGAGAAACTGTTCACTTTGACAACAGAGTCACTGATTTAAGGTGATGGAGAGGCAAAGGTGATGTGAGAGCATCCTTTGCCAAGCAGCGAGAGGTTAGGGTCTGGATTACGCTGACTGCAAGTCTGATGCGGGATGGTTTAATCCTGTTGCTTGACAGGGATTTGGAAAGGAAGCTCTTTTTTGGCCCTCGGGAAAGAGGGAGGAGTGAGGCCAGCCACATGGTTCTTGAGGAAAACCAGTATGGACACAAGGGGTTGAATTGACTCATTCTGTGCTGCAGCTACTCTCTGAGTATTCTCCTTACCCCACAATTAGCAATTGCCAGACGCGCCTACAGGCAGCTGAGTCCACAATCTTGGAAATTCCTCCCCTGAACCCATCCATCTCCACACCTTTGCAAGTTCCTCTTTGAAAGCCATCAGTTTAAGCTTTTAACCAATCTCCTAATCTCTCCTCCTTTAGTTTAGCGTTCTTTACTGCTTCTGCTTTCATGGTGCCTGCAGACCACTGAAAAATGTTGGCAGTGCAGAATCCATACCAGCCATAGTGTCATACAGCATGGAAACAGACCCTTCGGCCCAATCAGTCCGTGCCGACCATAATCCCAAACTAATCTAGTCCCACCTGCCTGCGCTTGTCCCATATCCCGCCAAACTTATCTAAATGTCTTTTAAACGTTGTAACTGTACCTGCATCCACCACTTCCGCTGGAAGTTCACTCCACACACGAACCACTCTCTGTGTTGCTTCTCACATTGTTTCTCCTCTCACCTTAAAAATAAAGCCCTTGGTCTTGAAACCACCCCCACCCTGGGGAAAAGACACTTACCATTCACCTTATCTATGTCTCTTACAATTTTATAAACCTCTATAAGGTCACCCCAAAACCACCTACGCTCCAGTGAAAAAACTCCCAGCATATCCAGCCTCTCCTTATAACTCAAACCCTCCATTCCCAGCGACTTCTTGATAAAGCTTTTCTGATTTGCAACTTGGGGTTGCAAGCCCTTGTCTCAAAATGCATTAAATGAGTTAACATCAAACAGCCTTCAGTCAAATAACAAAATTTCATTAATGCTCTCATCAGTCCTGTTGCAATGGCTGGATTTTAAGGGACTAAATTCTGGACTCAACTGCTGGATTTTAAATGATGATAATGCTCCCATTGATGGCTAATTGATTAAAGACAGGGTCCACACCGAACACAATTGTGACTTGAGATAAATATAAGATGATCCTCACATGTTGACTAATCTTGATAATAATTTCAGTCAAGAAGAGGTTTTCACACAATCGAAAAGCTCTTTACTGACTGAATTATCAGGCTTTGAAGCCACTTGAAGTAAAATATTTAGCAGGTAATTCATTAGCTCAGACCTAAATTAAAATGTGATCTTTTAAATGTTTAATTATCTTATTGCAGCTATTTAAAAACAGAGAAAGTATCAGAAAAGTACGTAACTCAGAGATATGTGAAGCAGCCACTTTTTTTTAATTAATGCACATAAGAGGAGAATATTTATGTGTTTTTTAATTCTTTGTGGACAACTCTGCTTGATGTACAATAGTTTTTCTCCCCAAGTAGCCCTTGAGAGCCTTACGAGGCCACTTAAGGGAGAAACCAGGCTGATTTTTGTTCATTATTCTTTCATGCGTCACTAGCGAGGCAGTATTTGATGCCCATCCCTAATTGCCTGTTGAACTGAGTGGCTCCCAAGGGCCATTTCGGGGGGCAGTAGAGTCAACCACATTGCTGTGAGCCTGGAGTCACATGTAGGTCAAACCAGGTGACGATGGCAGGATTTCAGTACAGGAGTAGGTGTGGCTTGTTGCAATTGTGCAGGGTCTTAGTAAGACTACGCCTGGATTATTGTGTTGGAGTTTTGGTCTCCTTATCTAAGGAAGGATATTCTGACTATGAAGGCGGTGAAAGTTTACCAGACTGATTCCTGGATGGACGATGAAGAGAGACTGAATTGGTTAGGACTATATTCAGTGGGATTGGAAAAATGAGGGGGATCTCATAAAAACCTATAAAATTCTAATAAGATTAGGGAGGGTAAATGAAGGATGGATTTTTCCCAATGACCAGGGAGTCCAGAACCAGGGATCAAAGTTTAAGAACAGGAGGTGGGCCACTTAGAGTCATACAGAATAGAAACAGATTCCTTCAGTCTAACTAGTCCACACTGACCAAACTAAACTGGTCCCACCTGTCTGTGCGTGGCCCATATCCCTCCAAGCCACTTTGGACTAAAATGTGAAGAAATGTCTTCACCTGGAGAGTGGTGAATTCTCTGCAACAGAAAGTGGTTGAGGCTAAACCATTGAATGTCTTTAAGAAGAAGCTGGAGATAGTTTAGTTTATTTTTCAAATTCATTCACAGAATTATGGGTGTCCTTGGCTAGACCAGCGTTTATTGCCAATCCCTAGTTGCCCAGAGGGCAGTTAAGAGTCAACCCCAG